GAGGAGGCAGACACCCGATGCATCGCGCAACAGCACTGCAGTTTGAACGACAGCGCGTGCCCGGTACCGTGGGCGCCTCATCGCGCAGAAGACGAAGATGTTGTGAGACGGGGGTGGGCGAGCGGTGCGGAACAGATTTAGGAGGGCCACAGATTGTTTTTCGATCAGCTGAGAACTCACCGGTGCGGAAGCCGCCTGGCAGAAATCCCGCCGGGGCCACACCTTTGTGGCCAGCGTGTCCATTCTGAGCCCGAAGTGTATGTTCCATTGTGATTAGGACAATGCGGGCGGAGACCCCCTTTTGTGCCATTCTTCTTTCGCCTTACCGCTCTTGTCGTGTTTTTTGTCGTGTCGCAGTTGATTTGGAGTGGCCACACGTTGCTGCAAGGCACGGATGGAATACTCGAGGCCGGCGTTGTTTTGCTAGCCTGTGACCCTGTGATGTTTGAAGATGCCACTCCGCATCAGCCACCATCGTCGGGGGCGCTATGACGACCGTGCGAAACCCTCACAGCTGTTGTCCTCGGGCGACTTTGTGAAGGGCTTATCGGCTGGAAGGCGAAGTGTCTCTGTGGGGGGCGAAGAGGAAGGCAGCGAAGGAGTCAGGAGTGGAATGAAGACAATTACCGTCGCCGGGACGCTATTGTCTGCGGTCAAGGCCTTTCCCAGGCAATTGTACTCGCCCGACGCGCCGATCTGAGATCACAGCGCCTGACCGCACAAACACACAAGCAGGACGATACAAGCACTGCCAAATCTGGCACAAGGCCCCTTCCCGGCTACACGCCTTCGCCTTCTTATAACCAGCCGCCTCATGCACTCTCGCAGCCAGCCCCTTCGTCTTTCGTGGCACCCGTCCTATTTTCTTCTCCATGTACGCCATGCCCAGCCTTTGCTCCTCCAATGTGAGTGTCAGCATCACCGCATCTTGTTGAACAGCCATATTTATGCAGATCCCGATTGGTTGCAGGAGTTGAGCTATCCCATGAGCACAGAGTGCTTGCTACAGCAGCCCACTGGATCCTACCGTGTGAAGTACCGCGGTTCAGGAGGCTGGGATTTCGCTCTTGAGACGGAATACCGCCCCGTCGACGTCTCCCTCGTCCTCCCCCACCATCGCGCTCGTAATCAGCCGCTCGATCACCGGCTGACTATGTACGTCGGTAGCGAGAGCGCCGAGTCCATAAAAGTCAAAGTCGTGAGTTCGATGCACCCTCCCTTTTTTGCACGTCTGCTCACATAGCATACAGTGCCGCAATTTCCTCCCTGCCCGCAGAACCAAATTCCGTCTCGAGGTGCACTCCTCTTCAGACGCTGACGTGACCATCTGGCTCCCGTCCGACTTCAAGGGCCACATTCACCGCTCGGAAAAGTGCAGACGCATCTCGTTTTCTGCGGGCTTTACCAATCGCATCATGCGCAACGCGCACCTCACACAGTCGCGCCGGCCCTCCGTCGTCTCCATGTCGGACCACACCATGCATCAGTTCTCGGACATCTACGTCTCCGACGACCCAGGCGTCTTTTCTGAGAAGGAGCACTTGTATGGAAGCGCGGAGCAAGACGAGGTCGTCGTGCATACCGCAGGTCATGTCACGTTTCGCATGTGGGACATCCACCGTGGGGAGCCCGAGGCTCGATGCAGAGAAGCGTGCAAGCGCGTCTTTGGTCTCGGCTGGTGTTCGAAACGATCACAGGAGGTCGCCATTGACTGGGATTTCCTGCTGGATGACTGATCCTCGCCACCCCGGGCCGTATACCTGCTCTCATTTTTCCTCATCGTCTGTCTCCGGGCCAGTGCTATTACTCCTTCTCTTCCACACTGTATTACCAACGTCGACCAACATCTCTCTTCCGCATTCTACACATCCACATTTGTAGCCACGACATTCGCCTCGGCACATCCTGTAGCATCAGCACATCTAGAACCTTATGATACCAGAAGTAGAGTAGTTATGGCCGTTTGCACCTGGCAAAATTATGACGAACCTTTTATGCAGTTTCTTTCCTCATTATTAGGCAAGGAAAACGCTATTGATACATATTGGTGATGTTATGATAATGTTACATTACATGTTCGCTGCAAGTCTCCCAATTATCACACAGAAGCTGTGTCCGATTCATGACCGGCCGTGGACAAACATTGTTCGAGCACCTCCACCAGCGCTGGATTTTCCAGGGCAGCAGCAACCCGTTCCTTATCGTTCAGCTGCTTATTCACTAGCACCACGATGTTTCCATGACAATGACCATGAGAAACAAACGACCATCCAAATTGACGACTACTTACATGCATGCTCGCTTTGATGTGACCCAGACTTCACACGGATGTCGACCTTGTATCTATTTGGCAGACTGCGGAGCAATCTCACGCGGATCGAGAGACCTGTGTTCCGCGAATGCCAGTCAATACATTCGGATCCGGAGACTGCGTAAGGGCCTCTTACCAATGAACGTGCTCATTCCGCAATGCGGGACCGTCGGCGTGAACTCTACTGTCAGTCTGTTGGGTGACCGCGCGTCAAATGTTATCTGTGGGGCCGAGACGACCGCGAGCTGCTCCAAAGACATATTTCGGTGCTCGGGATCAGATATTGAACGGATGAGTTCTGTACGCAATTACGAGTGAGCGACATGTGTGCACGGTGACGACAGATGAATATACGTCGAGCCCGCAGTGGACGAAAGAACGCACCAAATATCTCATCCTGGTCAATCTCCTCAATCTCATTCGACTCATCAAACCCCTCCGTGCTGCATTCCTCATCATCCAGCCACAAGGAGTTTGATTTGACATATGCCGGTACAGGCCGAGATGACTTTGCGGTCGCGAAGACCACAGGATTTGGGTTGAAGGCTTCGGTAGACATGGCTGATTCAGACTGAGGAAGGTCCTAACGGGAAGGTGAAGATCGGGGGAGTAAAGGTCACGTGCAACCAGATCGACGATCGTGAAATGCTACCCGGTCATTGCCGAGGTCGCAAGATTATCCGCATAAAAATGGTAATTGTTACTGCAGAATAAAGGGCCGTAAGAGAATAAAAAAAGAAGGTTGCACAGAGGAATCACTTTCGGATACAATTCTAAAATGGAGTGTATTTGAGCATGCAAAAAGTCATCGACGCGGTGGTAAGATAATTTTGTCACGAGCTTTATAATTGTCAAAATCAGCAGCTAAATATGCCTACGTAATAAGTTATAAACCGCTGGTTTTCACCGTTGATTTGACGCCGTGTCATGGTAATTCTTCTTTATTATATCGTTCGTGGAGTCTTCTTCTCAAATCAGTATTTTTGTTGAGGCCAACTTTCTGTTACTGCTACTGACGACAACTCCGAATGTGAGATTGCGGTAAGAATAGACAAGGGACATGCCGGCAAGTCGGAATGTGCTCAGCCGGACCCCGAGAGGGACTTCAGCCTTTGAGACTCAAGATATCAGGCATCTACGCATGATGGGAATCTACATAGCGGGCCTCCGTGGAACTGGTTCTTACAAATGGCTTCCACACAGATGTTATCGCGTGACTTTTCGGTATATGTACTGCCGCTATACGAGAGGGGGCGATAGCAGTCTTAAGCATCAACATCTCCTATCTCTCCTATCACCATGTCTCTGCCCTGTGTAGAAGTCGCGGATGCTCCCGCCACCGAGGCCTTTCTTGCGAACCCAAAGGATGTCAGTCTCGTCCAGCCGGCGTTGGATATTTTGAAAAAATCTCCGGGGATTATCAAGTGCGCAGCGGATATATCGTTTGGCTCGAATAGATTTGACGTTTGAATTGGACAGGGTCTACTACGGCCTGCAGACCGAAGAGAGGAAGCACGGTTACGTCTTCAATGGCGAGTACAGTTTTCACCGCTCACCTAGCCCAAAGCGATGGATGCTGATCCATGGATGATTTACGATCAGTCTGGGAGAAGCTGCAGGATCATCGCAATCTCCAAGCAGAGCCGGAGATCTATCCTGAGCTCGGGAAACAATGCAGTCGTTTCTTCACGCAGCGATCAGAGATGGTCCATATCAACCCCACAGCAGACCCCTTTAAGGCGATAGGCTCGCCTGCAACCGAAGTAGCAAGCATCAGCCTCAAGGCTGGGCAGTCGAAGGAGGTGCTGGAGCAGCAAGTGGGTTTACTGGCCGCGACTGTTAATGGCCTCCCCGAGCATTGGGGCGCAATCTCTGCTGTCTGGGGCCCTACGGTCGAGCGAGACGATACCTTCGGACTGATCATCGGCTGGACATCTGTGGATGTGAGTGTTTCTATTGATCATGCATATCGAATCGAAGCTGAATGCAAAGCAATCCAGGCTCATTGGAATACCGTTAAAACTGTCCCGGAGCTCATCCAGCTGCTGAAGGAGATCCGTGAAATTGCGGACATTTCTCTTATCCATGCCGAATTGACTGAATACTGATCTGGCGTTGGTGCGTGGAGGGGCAGAACGAAAGAAGGAACTTATATGTGTAATTAGTACCGTTCTTCTGTGTGTATGGATGCGAACAGCACGATATTTGCAATGGAAGAATACTTAAGGTTGAGATGAGTAAATATTTGGCAGAGTCGCCCTTGGCCGGGTAATGCCGAGATTGAGATCTGACCAACCGCTTCGCTCGCCAGAGCTATAATTCATGCAGTCGACTGCTCTCACCATCGTATGGCCACACAATACCGTACTATTGCACCGATTACATACCAGCGCGATGTTTTTCCTCAACCCATAACAGCCCTTTCATTCGACCCTGTTTCCGACACACTCTGGACTGGAAACAACTCTGGGTATGTAGTTGCTTATTACACTTCGCAGGGGATGCGGGGTGTCACATTCCCTGTGGGCGGCGGTCTCGCGGTAAAGAAGATATCTGCCATGGACTCAAATGTGCGCGCGTTCGGGCTTGCTAGTGAGGGTATAGGTGCATGGAGTAAGGGTGGTATGAACAAGTGGTTCCATAGGTGCGTTTTGAGCACCCGTTTCGTACGATTGATATCCGAAGCCGCATCAGGCCAAGCGTACAGGTCACTGCAGCTTCTAACAATACAAGCTCGTCGTCGATGTTTGCAGCTTCCACGACCACCCCCGAGCTGCTCATCATGAACTCTCAGACTGGTGCCGTAGTCAGGCGTTCGCAGGCGCCATCCATATTGACGCACTTGGTTTGGTCTGGAACATCACTCCTATCTGGATCTTCGGATGGATTCCTGCGCAACCACGACCCTAGGGATGCCATGTGGAAAAACAGCAACGGGAACAGCAGTGTGAAAGCACATGTTAGTGGTATTCAAGGTATCGAAGCGAGTGGGAACTATGCTTACACCATTGGGTTGGGCACTCGGTGAGATTAACACGCTGTTATGATTTCGGTGAATACCCTGACGCCGCATCACAGACAAGGCCGTCCATATCCGGATCCTCTGGTGAAGGTATATGACATGCGTACAATGAAACCTCTGCCACCTCTACCATTTTCTGGAGGGCCTGCCTTCATCTCGATGGTCCCTAAGCGGTCTTCTACTCTGGCGATCATTTCGAGCCAAGGATTGATAAACATTGTAGACGCGTCAAATCCCACAGTCAACGAATTCTATCAGGTACATCGAGGTTTTTTTTTTCGCCCTCATCCCCATGTATCCTCTCAAACTTGTTGTAGCTGGATACGACGTACATTACATCTGCGGCTGTGTCCCCCTCTGGAACTTACATGGCATTTGGAGATTCAGATGGGACCGTACATCTCCTAACAGCCGGAGATGAAGGGGCAGCACTTCCCTTCAATGGATTCGAAGGCAAGCCTATCGAATGGGCTGATGCTCCGGAGCCATTGCCTGAGATTGAGTGGACCGATTCAACGTGAGCCCTTGCATCCGTACGATCATTGACTCGTCTTCATGGGCCATGCAGGCCGCTGAATGTCATTGGAATGCCTTTTTACCATGAGCGATTACTTTCATCATGGTCCCGGGACTTCTTCTCGCATGGGTTGCACTTCCCGCCTCCTCCGAAGCTTCCTCAGCAGATTTTGAGCACCATGAAGACGAACGATAATGTTGCATATGCAGCCCTGCCTAAGGAACTAAGAGGCCGTCGCAATGTAGCAGTTACCTCCCCGAAGAAAAGCGAAGGTCGTTTCAGGAGCGGAAGGACAAGGCAGGATGTACATTCCTTGATCCATCACGCCATTCTTGATTACTGAAAGAGTCAATAGGTAGACCCCGAGACGCCAACGTACGAGTATGATCCGGAGAACATACCTAAGCCATATCGCCAAGTTGAGATCGAGTACTCCAAGTTTGGTGTCGAAGACTTCGATTTTGGGTCCGTGTTTTAGAGCACATAATTTTTATGGCGTCTATTTATCCATATCACAGCTTCTACAATCGAACAGAGTTCAGTGGGCTCGAGACGCATATATCGAACTCATATACGAACCCGATCGTCCAATTACTCCATTACACCCTCCCAATTCGCCGTCTCGCAAAATCGCATATCACCACGGACTGTCCGCGAGAGCATTGCCTCTTATGTGAATTTGGATTCGTCGTGCGTATGTTGGAAGACGCGAATGGAACCAATTGTCAAGCGAGTAACTTCTGCAAAACAGTGGGTGTTTTGGCGCAAAGTACGTCCTCCATATAGCTCCAGTCCCTGCACTGTGCTAACGGCACCTCCAGTGAACAATGCTATTGAGCTCATTGATTTTGGCAGAGAATCTGCGGAGCTCAATTACGCACATATGATCCAGGCCTTCCACCGTTTCCTCATTGATCATTTCAGCTCGGAAGGCAACGTGTTCCCCTTTAATCCGAATTTGCTCTCCTCAGCGGAGACCTCACCTAATTCTCCAGCACCCGCTCCGATCACTCAGCTTCTAGGGATTGATGCGAAAAATGTCATTACCTGTTCCCATTGCAAGGCTGTCCGGGAGAAAGAGAATATGACTCATGTCATTGATATTTATTATCCCCGGAAGGTGTGTTGTGCGCAATCTGTTCTGGCTGTGTATCGAGACCCCCCTGCGATCAGGTTGTTGGTCGGGATAGTGACACGGATTTCGCATCTCTCTTGCGACATTCGCTACTTCGGCCGACGACGCATAAGGCGACATGCCAAACCTGCAAGCAGTTCTCCACTTTTGAATCTCGACGGTCTATCAGGTCACGCGATCTTCCGCCTATCCTTGCCATTAATGCTGCAGTATTCAACGAAGAGACGCATAAGTTCTGGCGGGATCATCGCCAGCAGACGTTCTTGAGATCCACTGTGGAAATCCATGGGCAAGTCGAAGGGGTTGATGACCCTGATTCCGTCATCTATGAATTACGAGTTGGTGCCCCCATCAATCATATCAATTTGGATGCTAATAGCTCACAAACTTACAGGCTATGGTTGTACAGGTTGTGACAAAGGATCAGCGTTCACATCTTGTTTCAATTGTGAAAGGTCAGCTGATGCTCCCTTCGTACGGCCGCAGGAATTTGATCATTCCCGCAGTTCCAGAGTCGGAGAAGTCTCAGGATCCAGAGGCTGAAGGCCCGTGGTTTGTCTTCAACGACTTCGTAGTCAGCAGCATTACCGAAGAGCAGGCACTAAGTTTTCCCGCCAGCTGGAAGGTGCAGTTTCTGGTATTCATTTTATCTGTTCACTCCCATTTGACGTGCGCTCGTACAGGTGCCTACGATCCTTTATTTTGAACGAAAAGATCTCGTCTCGAAATTAGACTTCAGCGCGTTGCCTAACACGAACGATCAGTCCATCTTATGTCACGATACTAATATTTCTACGTGCGATTTTTTTCTCGTAGTGTTTGTGAAGTACTGACAGTGTCACAGGACTCGCGACAAGAAGTACATCAAACACGAGCCTCTGCGGCCAGATGAGTTGCCAAAGACAGGAAGTCTTATCGCGATAGATGCAGAGTTTGTTTCCATGCAACAGGTACATTCTTCACTGTATAGCAGGAAGCCTGCACTCATCGTATTCTGCAGGAGGAGACAGAGTACCGGTCCGACGGTACTAAGAAGGTTCTTCGGCCAGCTCGTCTAAGTCTGGCTCGAGTTTCTGTCCTGCGAGGCCAAGGTCCCGATGAAGGGGTTCCATTTATTGATGACCACATTCACACGAGCGAAGTAATCGTGGACTATCTGACGGAATTCTCTGGGATACGGTGTAGGTGCACAACCCTCGTCTGTGGGATTAGAGAATTGATCACTGTTCACAGTTGGCGACCTCGATCCGCATATGTCGCGTTACACACTAACGCCTCTGAAAGTGGTGTACAAGAAACTGCGTTTATTAGTGGATCGTGGATGCATTTTCGTCGGACATGGGTTGTCCAAAGACTTTCGAATAATCAGTCTGTGTGGACTTCATGAGCTGTGTCGCTGTTCCCTTATCTTTCTCTCTCCAGATATCTTCGTGCCCCCTGATCAGGTCATTGACACCGTAGATTTGTACTTTCTGAGGAATCGTCAACGACGGCTGTCCCTTCGGTTCCTGGCCTGGTTCGTGCTCGAGGAGAACATCCAGACGGACACTCACGACTCCATTGAGGACGCTTTGTCTGCTTTGAGACTCTACAAAGCATATCTGGAATTCGAAGCACACGACGTCTTCGATCAAAAGTTGGAGGAGCTGTATAGAGAAGGCAAGAAACATGTAAGTTCAGGTGCGGTTAGCGGTCATATAGTCATTCACGTTTTCAAATTAGAGTTGGAGACCGCCTCCCCCTCCAACGAGCGTGCCTTTGGCAGCCGGCCCCGTTAGTAGTAGAGTAACACCACTGCCTCCGTTCACGCCGGGCAACCAAAGCTCTCTACAAGCGGCATTACTGAAGGGCCAGTTCCCTGAAATGCTGTCGCCCCCCAATTATATGACACCACCAGGATCTAGTCCATTCATGGGACAGAATTGGAGGTCCAGGTAATGAATGAGTCGTGGTGGAACGCTCCCGACATGTCTGGACATGGGACCAAATCTAAGATGTCGATGCTGATGAGACAGCTGTGCATTAACGTTTTTGTATCGATGGTTTCACCTGTTCCTATGTATCTATCCCTACTTATTTTATCGTCATCTTAATTCTGAGCCTTCATGCATCAGTTTGTATGAGCTTAACCGTTACCTGGTAGATACGTCGACGGAACTATGAGTGTGGAATAAAGATGGTGCAGGCATTTACGACGATGATAATTATAATGTATATATTCCACTATCGACGCTTCGTCGACACTCGCTTTTTAGCCGCTTTGACTTCTTTGTCAAATCTACTGCGCTTCCTAGGCTTGGGCCCATCATCAAGATCGTCCAGTCCATCATCAGCACTCCTCGCTCGGGAGCGCGTCAGAGCATTCTGCCTACGTCCTTTTTGCCTCAACTCCTCATACCCATCACCGGCAGCGCCGTTACGACCGCGTCCCACAGACTTGAGAATGTCACCAAACTCATCCTCGAACCCACCACCGCGCCCACGCCTGCCGGATGCGGCTCCAGTTCCACCTAAAGCGAGGTCCGCCTCGTCTTGCTTCCTGCGTCTTGCATCTCGTTTTTTCATCACCAGTCGAGTCATGTTCTCCTCCTCGAACTCGGTCATGCGCTGTAAGTCGCGCGCTCGCTGGGACATAAGACCGGGAGTTGAACCAAGCCCAGACGTCGATTCCATGTATGGCTTTGATGGGTCAAGGTGCAGAAGGGTAGAAAGCGCGCTTGGGACAGGGGCACGGCGCGATCTGTCTTTCTCTCTGCGCGACTCAGTGTAAGGCACTGGAGCGAGTTTGGGTGGCCGGTAGATCCCGTCGCGTTCTGGCGAAGCTCGATCGTCCTCTTCGTCTTCGGAGCCTGATCCTTGATTCATGAGAGCTTGGGGATTGGGGCGGAAGGCCAGAGGATCTGGAGAGTGATACGTAAGACCATCGGATTAAGTTTCACAAGCACCAGCTTACCATCAACAACGTTCTGCGCTGCAGACGGAGCTTCTTCAGCGACACGAACAAGTTTGTCGATTTGATACTTCATCCTTCCTTCCAATACTTTTATCTTTTCGAGCACAACCCGAGCCTCCACCATGGCGTCTACTCTGTCACCGGCTCCGGAGCCACGTAAACCACGTTCCTGCGCACCAAAGGATGAAGTGGGGGGACTTCGCTCCGCCAACGAATCTCCTACAGCTCGGCGAGAGGAGATGAGGGTCAAGGACTGCAGGTACGAAAGCATCAAATGATGCTTTAGCGAGAGCAACGAGATGCCATCTTTCATATCGAGCTCGGATGTGTCTTGTCTGACAACATGAGGAAAATTCAGCCATGTCAACCCTAGTATGCAACAAGAACGCACTTTTCTCGGAGCGAGCGAACTACTTCACGCACGGACGCTATGCCCTGCCGCATATCATCCACAACCTTGCAAAATTCCTCCTCGGCGACATCGTCCACAGTAGGGGTTTGGACGGCTATTGCTGATAGTTCGGCTGTAGACGACATGCCGCCTCAATTGACGAGCGAGGTGTTTCGAGAGTTGTCCGAAAATGTAATATCTAAGAGTTGTAATATTTAGTCGACATATCTAAGTTCATGTTTTAGGGTCTCATGAAAAGAGCATCAGTTAACGGTTTTCTAGGCCGCCACTCGCGGACGAGCGTAATGCATGACATCTCAATGCCTCGATTAGCTCGAGTCAGAGCCCAGTGCATTTCATCTTCGAAGCATTCGTGGTCAAGAGCGATTCTTACCATACAGCCCGAATACCTGCGCAAAACTCAATCCTAGCGGTGAACGCGATGCGAAGGGAGTCGTCGACAACATGGCTGGTGGGAAATTTTGCGAACATAATTAATTTTGGAGATTTATCAACTCCCACGAAGAAGCTTGTCTTCGCGTAAATAAATAGCGTGCTTGTTAGAATGAATTAACTCGGGCCCTCGATCAGCTGTCGGTATTTTCTATTCCTGGTCATTCCCTCAGAGAAGCTGGACCGCCCAACTCTAAGCCGTCTAAGTATATAACATATGTCGAGCTATGGTCCCAATCGTACAGTGTCTAGCCCTTCCATTTTTATTTCCCTGACGGCGCAAAGTCACTACCAGGGAGACTCGTCCCGCCGTACGCTGAGAAAGTTTTCTATCAGTGGTAAGCATTCTGGATAATTTTTCGCTACTTGTCTTTGAGGATTGAGAGCAGGAAGTATAGTGGATGGCTTTTCGTAACTTCTGCTCTAGATTTCCTTCAAATTCGGGAAGTCATAATTACCCACTTCCTGTTGAGCTATTGTTGGATATTCAACATCCAACCAGAGGGCCCACTTTCCCAACGCCACGTAGTAGAGCTCCCCCAGTCCAATCATGTGAGGACGAATCGCTCCTACATGCGTCTTCCACTTGGAATACTTTTCCAGGCTGATGTGCTACTACTACTGAGGACTAGGCGGACACTGTTGGTGTAGATGAGACTACATGGGTACCAACACTTTTGTTAAGGTAACGATGGAATGACAGGAATCGAGGACACGTACGCATCTGTCCGTCCAAATCATCCATACAGTACCGTATAGACATTTTGGATAAAAATCCTGTCCCTGATATCAAACCTGATCAAGTGAGCCTCAGACTTTATGCCATCGCCTTCACATCCTCGCCCACAGGCTCTGCCTGAACACTGCTGTACCCAGCCTCTTAGGTCTTTAATCCCGCTGAAACTTCCACGCACGGATGTGCTTCCCCTTCTGCCATCACCACGGCGCCATTAATTGAATACTTCCTATACCCTCACGACACATCTTGTCCCTGCAGCCGTTCCAGACCCCATTGCCCGACCTTCCTGCCTGGTCTGCGGAGAAAGAGCAGGGGGGCGCGTCGGTGTCAAAGACATCCGAGTTCATCAAGGAGATGAGGTGTCAATAGTGGGCGGGCCGTCTGAAACGTCTTGGTATCTAGAATCAGCTTTGGGTGTGTGTGAACCAATACTTGAGGAGTGACCTACAGGACAGACAGCTGAACAACGGTGTAACTCTATTTTCTGCGCACGCGGATCCCAAAGGAAGCATATCATACTGGTTGTCGATCGTGTCTATCTTATTGATTCAGGTCCGTTTCCTCGGCACAGATATGGGAGCCAACACTCTGCAACTTGATTGTTGTACGGCAGAAGACTGTTGCAAGCTACACCAGACTTGGGAGGCCGTCAATCATGGTGACACTTGTCTTGTAAACGGGGCCAATTTCGGTGGCATGTGTGGGATTGTCGCCAGTTGGAACAGACGACTTCAAGGATAATAATGTTCGTGACGTCATTCAATTTCTGTATTATTATTTGCCCTCGTGTCCTTCTGCGCGTGGTCTTCCTACGCATTTGCCTCACCCGTCTGAGGTTACATGTCGCTATTGTGAATTACATGGACTTCAAGACTGGCCGCTAGTTAGTATTGGTCATTCCCTTGGCGGCTGCACGATGTAAGTGCTACTTCAAATTGACGTTAGTCAAAATCGACCTACTTGCCACTGTCTATCTAGAGCGCGCGCTGCGATTGCGAACTCTCATATGATTTCTTTGCTCATCCTCCTAGACCCTATCATTCTTCCGCATCCACAACAGGGTCCTGATACCAGCGCGCACGATGAAACTTATCAGTGGGGCTGTGAAACGACAGAGCCACTGGCCTTCTCGGTGCGCCTAACTGTTCGCAGCAGAAGGAGACAATGACACGTATTGTATGACAGAGAAGATGCCCATGAAAAACTTCCCACATGTCCGTTTTGCTCTACGTGGGATTCTGCGGTGTTGGACTTGTATCTCGAGTGTGGACTCCGAAACAATGGTAGTGGTGGCGTGCAGCTCAAGATGGCGGGCGTACATGTGAGCCTTGAGCTTGAGACCATACACTTGGCGTTCTATTGTTAATTCTGAAAATACTTCTCACAGGAAGCACTTGTTTTTTCTGAAACAATGGTGGCGTACAAAACATGGGACTTGACTGACACTCTCGACCCACGCGTTGAAGTCCGATGGATTGTCCCTGAGACTTTGCAGGGGCAGGGCAGCTCCCTTTGGAAAAGACTTTTTCTAACACACATCGTTCTAGGGTGTCCGGGATCTGCAAACAGATGGTGTGGAGGATGCCACAAAATTCATCAAACACGATCATTCTCTCTGCAGGATATCTGAATGCACAAAATAAGCCAGCGCCGAGCGGGGCTGGGCAAGTGTTCATATTGACGAAGCACGATGCAGTGTTGACTGACTATTCCCCTCAGCGCGAGAGATCCGTAGTTTCCTCCAGCGCAAATATGGTGATAGCGGACAGGCAAGGTTGTAATACATCGTGAGCGAATATTTTCTCTGCAGAACCGACGTATTGAGTATAAGAATTCAAGTTCACCGCGTACCGATGTACCTGCACATTATATTGGAGGCAGGCAGTAGTCTACATAGAGATGTCACCAACAATTCAACCCAGCCCTAGTAGGTTATCGCCTATGTATGAGTCGCACCTATTTAGAATATCGTATTCTCGCTTGTCATAGAGGTTTTTTATGACGCCGATGTACCGCGCGAGTTACTCTTATTCTCATTATAAAAGCAACATAGCAGGTTTTGGATAACGTTAACGTACCGAAAGGAATACGGACAGAATGTATGCGACATAGACGCATAAAACGTATCATAGCCCGGACTGAATGGTATGCTAGAGCAATCTGAATGATTGCATGGACGGTAAGTCTCCGCTGTTCACAATATTGTGGGCTCACGTTACAGAGTTCTTCGTAGTGGGTGTCCTGGATATTAACTGTTCTGATGTCGTATCAGGCGAGCGGGCATAACTTATACAGTATAAAATCATAAAGATTTGACATGTAGAAGTCACGTTTAGAAACGTTGTGGTCTCGTACCCGGACGTGTCGAAGACACGTCTGGGTACGAGACCAAAACGTTACGGGACACGAAACATTGAAAGCTGGGCAGTGCTAGTCGGGAATCAATCATGAATCAGGGGATCGAAAACACAGCGGCGGGATAGATATAGTGACAGTGTCCGGACATACTATGCGTGCAGCACCCATCGTCATGTCTGTTACTCCGACTAGAGAAGGCTTCGCTCCTTATTCCGTTCCTTCTGCGGGGCAACCCTGCCAAACGTACTACAAGATCTTCGGCGACCTGAAGAGTGGAGTCACGCCCATCGTCTGTATTCACGGCGGACCCGGAGCCAAGCACGATTACAGTCTCGCACATTCTGACCTTTTCTCCATTTATGGCATTCCTATTATCTTCTACGATCCAGTAGGCTGCGGCAAGTCGACCCGCCTCACGATAAAGCATGACGCTGGGTTTTGGACCATCCAGCTGTTTTTGGACGAGTTCTTCAACTTAATTCACCACCTGGAGCTCACGGAGTACGATATAGTGGGTGAGTCGTGGGGCGGAATGTTGGGAATGGAAATTGCCATTAGGCAGCCGGAAGGGTTGAGGCGCCTGGTCTCGTCGTCTGCGCCTGTGTCCTTCGATCTTTATGTGCAGGCCACGAGGATGTTATTGAAGATGATGCCTGAGGATATCCAAGTGAGTTTTCACAAGACATGTAAGTCCCACGCCCATTAAAACTGAAGTTTGTAATGTAGGAAGTGGTCGAAAGGAACGAGGCCACAGGGACGTTCGATTCTCCTGAGTACGAGCGGGCAAACTTGGAATTCGCCAAGCGTTTCATCTGTAGAATGGAACCATGGCCGGAAGAAGCCTGGTTAGTTTTGGAGTCGCTTGAAGATGAGTCTTCTGCATATATTACCATGTGTGTATACTTCCTCCTTTATAAACACATGGCTCATCGCGTACGGGTACAGGCAAGGTCCCTCGGAATTTACCATCACGGGTTCCCTCAAGACATGGAATATCATTCCGGACTTACACAAGATCAACGTGCCCACACTGCTCACCAATGGGAGATATGACCAGGTGCATGATATGGCGATAGCGCCTGCATTCAGAGAGATTCCGAACGTGAAGTGGCGTACATTTGCGCACAGTGGGCACATGGCGTTTGTCGAGGAGCGAGAAATGTATATGAAGCTGGTAGCAGAATTCTTGAGCCAATGAGATATTCTGCCAATCAGCAAAGCGGCATTGAATTGCTCACGCACCTTAGACTGATCCTAAACGTTCTTGGTGATAAAGCCCAGAGCCGTGTCAACCGACTATTGCCCTCAGTATAGGAAATCCATAGTCTCCTTCGGCGCAAGTATGGTTATGGCGGACGAGTGAGGTTCTAATATATCGTGAGCTAACATCTTCTCCACGGTGGTAATTGATTGAGTGTAAGATTTCAAAGTTACCGCTTGAGTGGAAGTAGCAGTAGCGTAAGTCGCTAGTCTTGGCTCCCAGGAGTCCACTGTCGGTGAAGTGTCACAAAAATCTAGAACGATTCAGAGTTATTCAATCTGTGCCATCCATTGCATGATGCCGTGATGCTTGTGCTGACACGCTGAGAATAATCAACCAGGGACATTCAGTTTCGCCCACACCATTCTGAGTATAGATACATCATCGCACGGTTCCTCTATCATAATATTACACTTTTACAGTACAGTGTCATTGTCCCAAGAACATTAGACATTAATTCATAACATGGCATCAAGATCAGTATGCTACCAGTTGGTGCGCCGTCGCAGGGTTCATAGAGCATATGTTCCAAGAATGAGTAGACTGGCGATAATAGTGGGCCCGAAACTGTAGCCAAGGGTCGTGGCACCACTGGTGGTAGCCGTATCTGAAGTCGTCCCATTGATTTGCTTCGCTTTCGCCTGGAATGCGGCAAAGTTATTGGGACTTGACTCAACTGCATTGACCGAGAAGACCATGCCCGCACCACAATGGCTCTTAGGGTTCGTCTGCTTGCAGTATACCCAGATGGGGGAGGTCTGTCCATAACAATTACGTCAATAATGGCAATGACAGAGCCAGCGCTCATTCTAAACACGCACGTCATTAATCTGAACTGTAAATGTCGGATAGCTCGTCGCGTTTGAGGCGACAGGCATGCTGCGTAGTCCATCAGTGGCAATCAAGCAATAGAAATGCAACGTGGCGTACAATCCAGAATCAAACCCTAATTGCCCGGTCGTGCTTGTCTCTGTGAGACCACGGCATGGGTCGTCAAAACTACTCTGGGTTGCCGTGTGATTCGTCTGCATGAAGTGGAATGTAACGGTGTCGCCAATGTCGGCGGTGATGTTTGACGGCTGGTAAGTCAGCAGTTCATTGGCGCCACCAACTATAACTACATGGTCTGTCGACGTAGTGGTAGGGATTGATGCAGAGGTTGAGGAAGATGTAGAAGATGGCAAATCCGTTATGGTGACAGTGGTTGTAGTAGTCACGACACTAGTGATATCAGAAGTAGTAGCCGAAGAAGTTGAGGGCGACGTGGTAGTATTGGCGACGGAAGGGATTGCAGACGGCATTGAGGTGATCGTGCTTGACGTAGAAGTAATCCCAGATGTCGTATTAGAAGGCAAGGAAGAATTGGTTGTACCATTTCCCATCGCGTTTGCCTGGAATATTGAGAACTGGTCACCAGGGTTGATTGCGAAGACCATGCCCAGTCGACAATGATTCGCCTGACGACAGAACACCCATACAGGATCAGTATCCTGCACGGTATACTCAGCCGCAGGGAAGGGCCCGTCCGTGTTGTTGGCGGCAACAGGTAGACTGTCCAATCATACATTAGTAAAGCTTGATTCAATAGTTCAAACACTCACAAGCCGGAATCAAACCCATTATTTGTATGCTCGCAAGGGTTATCCAAAGTAGACTGCGTGGCAGTATGATTTTCCTGCCTGAACGAAAAGACTACCGTATCGCCTGGGTTCGCATTCTTTGATGTCTAAATTAAAATCTCGAGACGGAGGGGAGCAGTTCCAATAGGACTTACAACGTATTCTGGATTATACTTGAGTACACCCTCCCCTCCAACAATCACTTGATATTGCACTGCCCAAGACCTGCTGGCATTTGCAAGAAGTACGAAGACACAGAAAAAGAAGCGAGCTGTATGGAACATCGCTGACATTCAAGGCGAGGACGATATAGACAAGAACAGTTGAGCAAGAGAGTCACAAGGATGATGGATAAATTAGCGTTGATGGTCCAGCCGTCAAATTCTAGTAGTGCAAGTCTAAAGGACCAAAGACGTATCCTCGAAGATTTAAGGGAGGCGAGAGAAGAGGTAACCTGCGACATGCTTTCCCTTTAAATACGATGACCACAATGCGACAAGGCGAGGATACGGGCCAGACAAACGCGTTTGTGTACGCCATAACGAGGAACAATAACCAGGCGCGCGTTGCTTTTGTTCACGACGCGATCACCTGATCGAGATGTCCCTCAGAGACAAAGTCGAGTGCAGTGCGCTTTGTTCATTGACATCGACAACGTACGTCAATTTGATGTAGGCTTGTATTCGAATATTCTCAATCCTCTGTTGGTCACATCGCTGGCGCCAAAATCATATTCAGGTAGGTGTAAGACACGTTTTGTGTAATTGCTCGCATTGGGCATCACTCTCAACTTAGGTTTATTGGAGCGCAGAGTAAAGTGCCAATAGAATGCCGAGAGACGCACTAGGAGGCGGTGATAAGTACTCCTGGACAAACCTATCCCATCCCAATAATAGATTCCATTTAAAATTTGTACTCCCTGTTCTAAAATTTCCTGTGCATGTCCGCTCTCTAAATATCCAAGAGATGCAGAATATTAACGAGCACAAGACTGAGAGGAGGAAATAGAGCAACCACGTCTAAATATCCAAGAGATGCAGAATATTAACGAGCACAAGACTGAGAGGAGGAAATAGAGCAACCACGCACGCTTTCTCGATATGGCAACAGGTAGGGGGTCGTTTTTCTACTTGCAGGCATGGTGTTTGACCAGTCTGCTTTGGGGAGGAAGAGACAATCAAGTCGCCCTTCACACACATGGTGGACTAAATATCTCGGGCTTGGATACCAACATAAACGAGCGGTTGATCACAATGCGACCTCCCTTTGTACGAATGATTGTAATTGACAATACTAACTGGTAGCTGATACCACAGATAGACGGGGCACCGCGGTGCTCTATTTCCACTATGTGAACAATGTACTACATTAAAATCAGGAAGATAACAACTGCGATGCAACAGAGACTTAGAGATGACGCTGCGTGCCAATAATTAGCAGTTTGAAAGAGGAAGAAAAAAGACCTCTCGGGTGAGCAACTAAACTCACATAACGAAAAGGCTGGCGTGACATGGCTGTATTTACTGTGCATTTCTGTGAGTATAATTCTGTCTCTGAACTCAAGGAACTTGAATTTTTGAAAGTTGCGACTTGAAGCTGAAGTCTCAGTGAATGCCGCGCATCAAGGCGCGCGTCACGTGAATCGCGAATTGATCGATCACCGACCGCAATTGGGTGTGTGACTCTTGCCTGATTCTCTCCTTCGCCATTGCGCGGTCACTTGCACTGTAATCGACTCACAACCAGTACCCACAGTCCGTCAGCGGCTGCTCATCACCCAGTCACGTAGACCGGCTACTCAGCTTGTTTTCCGGGAGTGAAAATGGAAGACCCAGAGCTTGCTGCGATTCGTGCAGCCAGAATGAGCCAACTTCAGCAGAGTAGTAATGCAAGTGGCGAAAGCGGAGAGGAGAAGAGCAAGCGAGACGCGGAAGACCAGATGCGCAGAGATTTGTTGGCTACTGTCTTAGATGGTGCAGCAAGGGAGAGACGTATGCGCGTAGAATGATCGTCTGACGAAATCGGTCACTGATCCTGCTGCTTGGATTTTCAGTTTCGCGCATAGCCTTAGTTAGCCCACAACGATCACAGCAGATCGAGACGATTCTCCTGCGTATGGCTCAGACAGGACAATTGCGCGGCAGGGTCAGTGAAGACCAGTTGATCGAGCTATTGGAACAGGTAGGTACCTGACCTATTGTATGTCTACGCCCCAAATCAACTATTGGTACCACAAGGCGGAGGAGGCACAATCAAAAGGCGCACCGAAGAAAGGTACTATTGTGGTACGTTCTTCGTTTGAGTCCCAACTATTCGATTTATCTATGACGTCGATCCAGTTTCAGCGGAGGAAAGGAGGCATTGACGACGACGACGATTTTTGAACCTAAATCAGTACTTCATCTTCTTTTCTTCGCCGTCTGGCTTTGGGGCGGGCACCAATCATGGGCAATCAATTTGCTACCTTGCGAGCTCTAGCTAGATGCCTAAGTTTCTTCTCAACGTCCCTAATCTGATTAGGTAGGCGACTACAAGGTGGTCATTTGACGATGAGTGCTGTTCGGAACTAACCACACGCGCTGGCTAGCTACGTGGTCGAATCACGCGGGTACTCACGATTATTGCATCTATGCAGTGTCGTTTCTCCGTTTGAACTGCGGTCCGAGGCGGTATGGGTGTCTATAATTGTGGAATCCATGTAATCACCGCACTCGTGTCCGAAACTTCAGCCAGCACGGTGGACGGAGCCTTGAGAACCAGATATTCAGCCTAGGCTCAGCCACTGGGCCCTCGCTCTTTAGTGGATAGCCAATGAAAGTAGTGTCTTTGGTTCGGTGTATTCGTGTGGACCATGTGAGATATCCCAGTGCTCTTGTGGGCTGAAGCCTCCTGAATCGTGTGGATGTGGTACTTACCATATGTAGATGCCGTGCCGTGATGCCTGTTTGTGCTTGTTGGTATGCCGCCACAAGTAAAAGCATGCAGGCGCCTCATTGTCGCGTTACCCTACTGTCCCGACGAGCACCACGCCTTGTTCCCGACTTACCTCAATTTCCGTCCACCGTCCACCTTTTGGCAATCAGAATGTCGTCGCGTGTGCACCCCCACTCACCGCTTCCGGCTCCAGCCTTGCATGCCTCCAATCCTTCTGCTCAGTCCAAGTCCCATGTCCTTGCCGGAGTTCAGGACGCGTACTGGAGCGACGATGAAGCGGTACGTGTTTCTTTACTGACAGCCTGAGTAAGACAGTAAAACTCTTATACAGGAGGATGCTGAATGCCCTCTATGTCTTGAAGAGATGGACATATCCGATCTCAACTTTAAACCTTGCCCTTGTGGATACCAGGTGTGCTATGTCCCCCCACACCACCTTTCATTACTGATAATCTTGTCTGCAGATCTGTCGTTTTTGTTGGCATCATATCAAAGAGAATTTGAACGGCCGTTGTCCCGCTTGCAGGAGAGAATACACAGATGAAGCTGTTCAGTTTAAGCCCATCAACAAAGAAGAGTGAGTCTCGTAATTCTCGCATATATCCTCTCCTTTGTTAAAGTTGCGCCTATCGCCCCCGATGTTTCGGACAGCCACAAGCGTCTAACTCAACAGAAGAAGCAGAGGGAGCGCGAGCGGAAGGAGCTTGACGCTTTGGGCAGACGGAGCCTCGCGAACGTACGCGTCGTACAGCGCAATGTTGCATATGTCGTGGGAATGGGTCCCAGATTTGCCAAAGAAGAGGTGTGTTACTATCCTAATCTTCAGAACCTGAGGTGCTGATTTCCCATCAGCTCATCCCAACGCTGCGCTCGAGTGAATACTTCGGCCAATATGGTAAGATCTCAAAGATCGTGATCGTCAAGCGTACTCCGCCAGGTGGACGCGCACCTGTAGTGGGATTGTACATCACCTACCACAGACGCGAGGATGCAGCACGAGCTATTGCAGCGGTCGACGGCGCAGTGTCTCCAGGTGGCGGTCAAGAAATTATGAGGGCAAGTTATGGTACGACGAAGTATTGTATGGCGTTCCTACGTGGCGTGCCTTGCACGGATCACGGTTGTATGAACCTTCATGAATGGGGCGACGAGAAGGATTGCTTTACGAAGGAGGATTTGACTACACTGTGCGTATGGGTATACCGACCGAGGATCTTAGCTCATGTAGTTCATTTTATAGCAAACATACCATGAAAGATACGGAAAATCGCTCCAGGGCTACCACGGTTATCCGAAAAGGCGATGAATCAGATGGTAATATGCACCCTTCATCGTTAGTTCTGTCGATTCGCTCATCAACCTCCTTAGTCGGTCTCCCCCGTGCAGCTTCATGGGCCAATAAAAGCTCGACTGCCCTACACAATAATACCAATGCGCTCGCTCCGGCTCAGACAACTGTGCGCCAGACGCGGCGCGGCGGGACCAGTACAAGGCAGCAGCGTTCAGGGTCGACTACAGCTAGTGCATCTGAATCACGTCCCTCCGGTAGAGAGCGCAAAAGTGCAGCGACGCCAGGCAAAGCCACTTCTCAGACCTCTCTGTCCCGCCCCACTACACCTGCGCACCTGCCTCATCGGCCAATTACGCCGAGTGCAGCCAAATCTTCAAAGCCGAAAACATCATCTCCGCCGCCACCGCCCTCACATTCGCCCACTGCTTCATCTGTAGCGATCGAATCTGACATTGGCTCAACCGGACAAGTACCATCTGCGGTTTCCCCTCTTCGTGCGGCAGCGACAGAAATCCCAGCTGTACCCCCAGGCATTCCAGTTGTTCCGCCTGGTCTTTCGGCCCCACCTGGATTACCCCCACCTTCCCGTTCAACATCCGCAGTATCATCGCCGCAATTATCCATGCAACCTTCTCAATCTTCCTATCAACTGTCAACTCAAGCGCAAGCACTCATAGAAGATCTCAAGGCCCGTCGGGAGATGCCCCAGTCATCCATAGAACGGAGCCCTTTCCCCGACTTTGATCGTATGCTGCAGACGCTCAGTGGTGCCGGTGACGGTGGCTTCAGTTTCAATCTGGATCCAAAGTTGGCTGGTGAGGATGCTGATGAGACAATTCCAATTCCAGGGCTTGGTGCGGCACCTGATACACCGTTCAGCGGTACGTTCTTGGATGCATTCCCGAACTTGAGGCAGGATGCTGCCCCAAGTCCGCTAATTGGTCCGCCTGGACTATCATACCCATCCCGCCCACTGTTTGACCCACTGGGGGCGAGGTCGCCTGCTCTGGAGCGACAATCGACTGGAAGCACCGCATATACCGGATCATTTAATCCCTTTGCAGCGGATGGTGGCGAAGAGTCGCAGTCAAAACGCTTTCCGCCCATGGATGAAGAACGTCAAGTTTCCCGTTTCGGTTTTGCTCGGGGACGACAGGGTTCAGCCTCGTCTTCTTTACATCCACCTTCCCCTCTAGTAAATGGTGACAACGTCCCACATTTACCCTATTACAGCTCATCCGATGTCGCCTCTCATGCGTCTCGCTCGCAAGCGCAATGGGCTTATCAGAATCGACATCAAGCCGCCGAGTTTGCCTTCCACCAAGCCAATTCTGCCATGAGCTCTCCCTTGGCCCAGCATGCTGCCGCACATCCCGTCTACAACCAGTCTCCACAGCAGTCCAGCCGATTCCAGCCCTTCGATACGGGAGTGAGCGAGGCGCAGCTGAGGGATTTGATCAGTTCTAGCCGCGAACGTGTGAACCACATGAGGAATGGACCGACTGGTAGGATGCTCCTACTTGCGTAAAGCGTCATCGTGTTGTTGACCTGCCTGTTATTCTCCTCTTCATAATGTAACCTCTTCATGGATGTGATTTCTGCGCACTCCTGGATTTGGTTGTATGTTTTAGATCAATCTCCGTACAAGCCCATCTCGAATCAGCCGTTCAGCGATCCTGCGATCATGTCTGCGCGATTGGCCTCCCCGGCCATGACGCAGGCATTGCACGAGGGCGTGTACTCTAGCATGTCGTCCATAGAGGGCTTCTCGTCGCGGCAAGCGGGATACGGACCCCCTCCTGGCATTCCGTTCGCGGATGGCGCTTTGTCCGGAAGCCCCATGGCAATGAATCATAATGTATATGGGATTGCCAACGGAACGCTGGGTAATCTTGATGTCGGCCAGCCCCATGGATCTGCGCATGGTGAGTGTTTTGCTTTTTCACCTCAGGGGAGGGAGTCCCAGGACAGAGTACCGAGTGCCGTACTTTCAGTGCGGAAATTGTATCTTAGGCCTTGATCCATATCCATGCCTCATGGCAACGGCCCGGTCCTCTCCTCCATGATAAACGCCTTGCTGTGCATCTGTCCCCCCGGTAGGGTGCCCTGTGTGTGCCTCGACGCTGACATACCCTTGTTCCTATTCTATTTGTCATTCCTCATGAAGTATCGATGCCCTCTTCTGTTGAACCCTCTGTTGCTCCTTCTCCTGCCTTATCTTCTTCGGACTTTCCTGCGTTGCAGGCGGCTGAACCTGCTGTCCGTCGTGAACAGCCGCAGT